CACATAGTGAGGTAGATATGTGGGGGCGTGTTAGAACGAGCCGTTTTAGGGGGGCGTGGCAGAGTCTTAACTTTGATAAAGAATATCTCTTTGGTTTTGAGACTTTAGTCTTTGCAACTTCAGGGATCTTATCTATTCACGAACAGCTTGTAACACTCCAAAGAGAAAGGAAAACTTGAAATCGCATCATATGACCCCTTTAAAGCGGCTGACAGCAGCGCATGACATTATCGTGCAGTGGTGTGGACGTCAGATTAGTTATTTACAATAAGTAAAACAGTGAATAAATTGGTAAATGACATAACAATGATTCATTAAACGTTTACCAACTGTTTTACTTTTTGTCCTCGTTCTACTTCTGTATCGAATTACATTACACTTTTACAACAATGACTTTTATTTTGACATCAAACTCCGGAAGTTATCTCCGGAAGTCCTCTGGACAATTCAAAAGGCCACGCCCACCGCGGAACGAATCTATGAATATTCGTACTAACCCCGCCCATTGGAACAGTTTTTCACGGGAACCGAATATTACACAACACCGGCGTGAATTACATTTGTGGTCTTTGGTGTGAAGACATGAGCGTACCGCTTATACTCCGAGTCAAGTGACCAATTTTAGGTACATGATAATTGTTTTTAGTTTGGTTTGCTATATGTTTCCTGTCTACATTTGTCAGCTGAGTGATCGTTGGTCGTTCTTAACGATAAATTCACCCTGATAACATTAGTTTCAGACAAAATATCATACAGTTAACACTGTAAAAATATAATAAATGAATATACCGTTGTCTTTAAAAAGTCATATCGCTGTCATTTTTGCCACCTCTACATGTTAAGTATTTAGTGAAGAAATGCGCAGATATAAAATACTCATACATAAAACAGCAGATTGCAATAATATGAAAGCGTTATTCAACCAATCCCACAGGTTCAAACTCTTCTGAATGTCATGGAGAACTTTGTGGTTTACATTCCCAAGGAAGCATGTGTCAAGAACATGCCTCTGCAGTCCCTGTCCAGCTCCACAGCCAGGAAGATCAGTGTCGCTCTGTCTCCACATGGATCAGAGAAACAGATGCAGCAGACTGTGACGTGGATCTGTCCGGTTGAGCTGCGGGAAAAAGAAGTGGCTGTGGGCAAGGACAGCAGAGAACTGGTCCCACTGAGCCAGAGGCAGCTGGTCTCCAAAATAACTCCAGGTCAGTTTTCGCTGCCTGTTGTGAGTTCCAGCATCACTGCCTTTAAGGCCTTAAGAACGATTTTAAAAGCACATAAGCCTGAAATACAATTTTCCGGGCTGGAAAATGAAGCTGCCTCTCTGCCCAGCATCAGGGATTCCGATGTTCGGCGAAATGCCATGATTCTATATAATGGCCAGATCTTCCTCTCAGTGAGGCGAGTGAGATTACAAAACTCTCCCTCAGCAGCTCCAGCTGTGTGTCCTGTTTCTCCCAGTCAACAGATCCAACTAAACACATCTAGATGTCAAGCACAAACACCCCTGGAAACTTCACCCAGACCACAGCAGAGCAAGGTAGGAAGGACATTTCCCTCTTGTATTACATTTTTCAGTCTGTCCTGAGAAAAGGTATAAATGCCAGGAGGTGTAAATGTGAAGTCATCATGGTGATTCTGATTAATTTGAATTAATATTAATTTGTACTATTGTAGATTTAAAGGTATAGTTCACCCAAAAATTTAAATTTTTATCATTTACTTACCCTCAAGTTGTTCCAAACCTGTATAAGTTTCTTTCTTTTGTTGAACACAAAACGAAAATATTTTGAAGAATGTTGGTAACCAAACAGTTGACTGTAGCCATTGACTTCCATAGTATTTTTTTTTTTGTTTCATACAGAAGAAAGAAAATTATACAGGTTTGGAACAACTTGAGGGTAAGTAAATGATGACAGAATTCTTATTTATGGGTGAACTATCCCTTTAACTGCACTGACAGTGTCAGATGACAACAAAATTAGAACTGAAATAAGCTGGATAATGACACTAACTTTGCAACATCAACACTGTTATTGAACTGAATCGAATGAACATTGAACTGACTTGAGCTGAATAAAGACAGTGTTGTCTTCTGTAGAGATACACTCATGATAACTTCTTTCTCTGTTATCATCACTCTTAAGATGGATTTCATTGTCATGCTGCAGGGAATCTTTAAAGCGGCTTCAAATATGATCATGAGGACAATTTAAAGCTGTTTATGCCTCTACATAAATGATCTGTCGGATAAATTAATGTATGATACCCTTTTTACTTTACTTGGCTATAAAGGTTCTGAAAAAAAAAAGGTTTTTAGTGATTTTTGTTTTTTTAGAACAAAAAAAATTTAATGATTCACTTTACTATTTGTGATATATTGTGCATTATTTGCTTTAGGCTTTTGATACATTTCTGATTGTTGCATGTCTCTTTCCAATCCACAGAGTCAGGATGTTCAGACTCCAGTCAGAGATCTTGACATTAATACACAGATTTTACCTCTTTTGCACAAAGTCTCTGAAGAAATGCCTGAACAATGCTGTACAGACAAAGAGTGTCAAAAGGTCAAGCTTTAATTTTTTATTTTACACTGTATAAACTAGGTTTTAAAGAGAGACATTATATTTTTATATGAATAAGGGTGCTGTAAATTAAAATTTGTTTTTTTAAGGAATGATAGGCATAAAATGTCCTGGGAGCTAAAATAGGTGTCCTGAAAAAGCATAATTGTCAGTCCTGTCTTTTTTAACTAATTGAAAAACTTAGTCAGTCAGAAATGTTTTCTGCCTGTCAATCGGGGGAGGCTAGGATATGGCGACTCTCCCTCATCTGGACATAAATTTTTCGGACTGAAATCCCTTACAGTACCTATAAATCTGTATAAAAACAAATTGTTCACAACTTTAAAAGTGATTAAGTAATGTTTTAAATCTTTCAAAACCTAATGAATTTTGCCTTTGAATTCACAGGAAGAAGAGTCCAGGTCACGGAGTAGCACACCTAAATCTCCTGAGGATCTGGAGTCTGGTCAGGAGACGTCTAGTTCCCTGCCCAGTATCCTCCAGCAGATCAACCACACATCTTCTGGCATCTCAGAACAGCCCGAAGCAGCAGGAGGACAAAGAGAGACATCCGAGGATGACAATGAGCATTTAGAGGGCGCATTGCTCCCCAGGGCTGAGAGCTGTCTTGCATTTGATTTTGAACAGTTGGCCCAGGAAGAGAGAATCAACCACCTACGAGCTCGGCTGAGACAGAAGGAAGCATCACTCAGCATCTTTAACTTAAAGCCGACAGATCAGCTTTAGAGGATCCGACTGTGCCAAAGATGTCTGTTCAGGAGGTATAAAAGTTCCTTGTGCATCATATTATTTGAGCAGCAGAAGAATGTCATAAAGCTTAAAGGAATAGTTCACTCAAAAATGAAAATTCAGTCATCATTTAGTCACCCTGAAGTTGTTCCAAATCTGAATGACTTTCTTCCTTCTGCTGAACACAAAAGAAGATATTTTTGAAGAATGTGGGTAGTTGCTGGTCCGCATACTATGTAGTAAATGATGACAGAATTTCCATTTTTGGGTGAACTATCCCTTTAAGATGAATAAGTTTGTTAATTCAGTTGACAGCACAAATATTGTCATTTAATTAAAATATAAATGCAAAATAATGATTTTCACACCATAAGAGACACATTTAAGAATAGTATGTGTTTGTGCAATAAATACGGTGAATAATTTGTGAATAGCAATGTTTGGTTTAGCTGCTAAAATTAAAATGCTTCATTCATTCTCAGTTCAAATAAAAGGATTTATGTCATACTGAGCATTAGTCATTTCATTATGTAAACCAACTGCTGTACATCGTACCTCCAGTTAATAATGTACCCACACATCTGACTGTTAACATAACGTTTTGTCTTTATTTTATCTGTAAGTGCACTCTATCTGATTGGCTCTGAATGCGTTCCTACATCTATCTTTGTTTCATTTATCATTCCAGCTGAAGCCTACACACTCCAAAATCACTTAACCGGCTTCTTGCTGAGATATACTCGTGATAACTTCTTCCTCCATTGTCGTCACTCTTAAGATGGATTTCAATGTCATGCTGCAGAAAATCTCCAAACCAGCGTTATATAAGATAATGATGACAATTCAAAGCTGTATATGCTTGTACACAATGAAGGATTTCTAAATGAATAATATCCGTCAGATAAATTCATCCCTTTTACATTACTGAGCTATAAACGCTCAGATGGATGACATTAGGATGTCAGTTTTAGTTTGTTGTTGTTTATTAATCAGAGTTCTTTTGTAGTTTCATGCGTCTCCAATAAAAGACAAGCTTTGCGATTAGGAGTTGTCTGTGTGTAGAGGAAGCAGTGTTGGGAAGGTTACTTTGGAAATGTAATAGGTTACAGCCACAGACGCGCATTGTCTTTGGATGGTTCAATATATGAACGTGCAGGATTCATATATTGTCTTTTTGCGGCTTAATATTCACAGACACTAGTCCATAGCGCGTTTTGATTGAAGTGTACTGACCTACCTTTGATTTATTTATCCAAAATGTGGCATATTCCATCTGCGGTTAGGCTAGGCCCTATAGGAATTCCGTTTTTATGACTGGATTCTACGAACCAGTCTGTTTTCCGCATCGCGGAAATTATAGGGCCATACGTCTCAGAGTAGTCAGTGCAATTTGGGAAAGAAATCAATTAAATCTGTATGTGGATGTGTGTAAATATTCAAACGTAATCCCCTTTGTAATCTTTAACATTTGCATATGTAACTGTAATTTAATTACACATTTTTTCTTAGTAATTGTAACTGATTACAGTTACATTTATTTTGTAATTAAATTACGTAACGCCGTTACATGTAACTAGTTACTCCCCAACACTGAGAGGAAGGCTAGGATGTGTCCTTGTGTGTGTGTGTGTGTGTGTGTGCAGTTGGCCCGTCCCCTCCTGGTCCTCCTATAAGAGCACACCCGAGTAAAAACGTCAGTAGCTCTTTAGAGAGACCAAACCATAAAAAAATAGACATGCCATCAACCTGTCATGCCAGACGGCTTCAGATGCTAAGAGGATTCCTGCTGAAAGTAAGACTCCACATGCACTTCCATAGACAAATTGTATTGTAGTGGGAGGCACCAGGATCAGGCTTTCATATTAAGGACCACTACACCTGTTGCACATTATCTGGGTGTAGATAGAATTAGGGGGAAAAGACCACTTCATGCTGTGTTTTTACCTTATTTTGGGGCATTTAGACTCAATGCTCCATAAAAGTTAGTAAAAAAAAAAACTTTCCTTTTTTGCTAAATGACTAGTTTCCATGGATGAGTCAAATTACCTTTTTGTGACTAACAATTACTGCCCCCAATGCAGGTTTGCATGTTAGGGAGCTATTATGACGTCAATTTGTCGTGTGGGATGTAGAAAAATATAGATCTGCAATCCACGCCATCATATCAAAAGGTCAAAACAGTTTATGCTTTTGCAAAAGGTAATTTTCTGAGTCAGCAGTTTTTCTGTCTTAAAATAAAGGTTCATTATTGGAATTGATGGTTCCATGAAGACCCTGAACATCAGTGGAGGTTCTTTACAATGGAAAAGGTTCTTTAGATTATTAAAAAGTTATACCAAAAAAAGCACTATTCATTGATTCTATAGAATCACTGCAAAAACACCCTTTTGGAACCTTTATTTTTATGAGTGTAAGGCAACATGCAATCTGTATTCAAAGCATCTTGCAGAGCAAAGCCATCTGGACTTTTCGTACATGCTTTCAAATCAGTAAGGTTTGCAAAACAAAATGTATTCAGAGCGTCATCCATCAAGCATTGTATCCATTGTTTTGACAGAAAGGAGTGTATCTGTCCGATAAGATGCAGGTGGCTGAGAGTTTGTTTCTGGTGAAGCAGGTGCTCAGCTGGCGAAGTGTGTGTGTCCTCTATTCCCTGTACTGCGTCCTGATCCTGCCAGACGCCGGCGAGGCTGCCAAAGCACGCTGTGGACGAGAACTAGTTGCTGACCTGGAGTTTGTGTGTGGGGACCGTGGCTTTTACAGAGGTGAGAGTCACTTACAAACTTCATCTTACACTTCTAAAATCCTGTGTTTGGATACTGTAGAAACAAATCTGGTTTCAAACGTGTGTGTTGATTGTGTGAGTCAAACCCTGACATGGTTACTTATGTACCGTTTGGTGGGAGCACAGTGACTTGCATGTCTCTAAATCATTAAGCTCACTCATAACATTATATTCATAACACTTAATATCAGTGTATTAAAAGTGGCCTTGCCCTGAAGATACAGACAGTGTTATCAAGACAAGCCGTAATCATTATGGTGTTGATGCAAATCAACCAACCAATAGCAAACAGTAATCATCTGCTGTTGTAGGTGGTGTGAAGTTATAGTTTTTGATATGAAACATTTAATAAATGACATAAGTTACCACACCAACATGTACTCTTGATTTGTGGGTGTTGATATCAACATTTTTTTATTTCTGCTAACTGAGGTCCTTTCACCCTGTTCCATATTCAAGGCCACCTTGACACTTTTCTCTATCATTTTCTCACTCCTTTTCTCAAAAGGAACATTATGACACGGTCTTACAATATCTTATTTCAGCAATTTGACAAAAAATTTCAATCCTAATAGTGGGCTACATAAACTATATACACGCCATTCAAACATTTTTTAATTGATTAAAATTACAGTAAAACTGTCAACTATTATTACAATTTAAAATAGCTGTTTTCTATTTGAAAATATTTGAAAATGTAATTTATTCCTGTGATGCAAAACTGTATTTTCAGCATCATTACTCTGGTCTTCAGTGTCACATGATCCTTCTGAAATCATTCCAAGTTAAAAATAACAGCTTTTATTTGATATATATACAGTGGTGTGAAAAAGTGTTGGCCCCCTTCCTGATTACATTAAAGTGTGACAAACATGCAAAAAAATAAGAAATCAGGAAGGGGGCCAACACTTTTTCACACCACTGTATACTGATTATTTTTATTTTGGATTTTCTTACATTTGATATATTTATGGAAATGTCTTAACTCACTTTTGATCAATTTAATGAGTCTTTACTGAATAAAAATAACAAATTCTATAAAAAAAATTAACTGACCCCAAATTTTTGAACTTTTGTGTTCTCAATTGTAGTTTTATTAAGCGCATGATTTATTTTTTAGAGAATACAAGGCATAATTTGTCCTGCACGACCCCATTTTGGCAGTTTGCTAGTTGCAGCTAACTCACATTAATGTAACTGGCATTAAAACCATTTTGCTTTGTGTCTGTTGGCGGTTAGGCAAACCTGGAGCAGCCCGTAGCGGCGGTCCTCGCTCTCGTGGGAAAGGGATCGTAGAGCAGTGTTGTGTGCGTGGATGTGACCTCCAGCATTTGGAGTCGTACTGTGCAAAACCCAAGAAGGTGCGGCGTGACGTCCCTGCATCTCTGCAACAGACTCTGGTGAGACATCAGTTCTACAGATACACATACAGATCCCATTCAGCTGATTTTGCCTTTGTAAAGCATAGAGGAATATCTTACCCAAAAAATGTAAGTCATCATTTACTCACTAACCCATTAGACTTTCTTCTGTAAAAGGGGACCTTTTTTAAAATATACTGTCATTCACGCACTTAATTACAGTTAATGGGAGAGGGATCTTCAAAAAGGAAGCACCATATTGTATATATAGTCGTGGCTGTCATGTACTATAATTACATCTGTGTCTTTAAGACGGGGGAGTATGAGGCATGATGGGAAGTTTTGTTCATGTTGTTGGTGAATTCATGGCAGAGAAGTAAAGACGCTGTTGGTAAAATGTTAACCAGCGTGTGACTGATTTAATTCAGTAGAATGTGCTTCCTCTGATAAGGATCAGATAACTTAAGAAACATATACATAACATTGGCGACGAGGATGGGATGGAGGGTGTGAGCACTGATTGCACGCGATGGAAAAGTCAGGTATTCCTACGTTTGAGTGCTACAAAGATCCCGCGACCCTTGGGCCAAGATGGACAAGGTAGCTGACAGCGTTTGAACTTTACGCAGACGGAAAAGGACTTATAATTGAAGAAGATGTTGCCGCGTCAGTCCGGCAACGACGCAGAGCGCTTCTTTTGCATCACGCTGGGCTTGATGTCCAAGATATATTCTCCACGCTGCCGGATACGGGGAATGCTGACGATTATAATGCGGCCGTTGCAGCCTTGAATGCATACTTCGTGCCACGAGTGAATGCTGCATATGCACGGCAGTCATTTTATAAACTTTCCCAAAACTTCGGTGAGACGGTTCAGCAGTTTGCAACGCGTCTTAGACAGGCAGCCAGAGACTGTGCATTCGCAGGCGACATAAATAATCAAATTCGGGATGCCATCGTAGGCAAATGCTCATCAACATATGTGCGCCGCAACCTTTTGGAGGAAGGACCTAATCTCACACTTGTTCGCGCGTTGGAGGTTGCTGCTCTCTGTGAACGGATAGAGGAACAGATGTCTCCATCATCATCAGTGAGTGACGCATCAAAGCCTGACACAGAGTCTGTGAATCGAGTCTGGAGAAAAGGAGGAAAGCAGACGAAAGGAACATTTAAAGGAAAACAACAAGCAGAAAACAGTAAGATGAATAAACAGTGTTACAGATGTGGAAATACAGACCATTTTGGAAGAGATTTAAAATGTCCTGCCCGAGGCCAGATGTGTCACAAATGTAAAGGACGTGACCATTTCTCAAAAATGTGCAAAACTAAAAATGTTAAGCAAATGGTTAACCAAGTGGAAGGACAGACTGAATATGCATTTGTCATCCAAGATGACTGCAGGGGTACAGATAGATTGAATGTTTGTTTGGGGAATGTTCATTTGAGGATGCTGGTAGACTCAGGCGCATCCAGCAATGTCATCGATGAGAAAACTTGGGAGAAACTGAAATCAGAGAGAATTAAATGCCATTCGTACATCCCGGATACAGAGAAGAAATTGTTCTCTTATTCATCTGATCAGCCTTTGCCAGTAAAGGGAGCTTTCAAGTGTGATGTAAGAATAGGCAGTCGGATGGTACAGGCCGAGTTCATTGTCATAAAAGCGACTGGTGAACCTCTGTTAGGCAGAGACACAGCCACGAAACTTGGAGTACTCAAAATTGGCACAGACATTGCAGCAGTAACGGACCTCAAGCAATCACTTCAGTCACAATACCCAGAAGTGTTTCAGGGAGTTGGTAAGTTGAAAACTAAGCAAATCTGTCTGTACATAGATCAAACAGTCCAGCCAGTAGCCCAGCCTTTAAGAAGAATACCATTCAATCTAAGAGGTCCTGTGGAGGAAAAGATAAAAGAACTCCTAGAAATGGACATTATCGAAGATATATATATATATATATATATATATATATATATAATTTATTTATTCATTTGTATATACATATCTGTATGCCTTTGGTTCATGAATTGGACATAAACTGCCTCTCACTTGAACTTTAATGAACATACCAAAGGGACCTTGAGTGAATATCAAGATTTTCAGTGAAAAATATCAAATTCTAGTTTATTCCTCACATATGACTTCACAAGAATATTGTGCATAAGTTATATAATACTACATGGCCATATTTGTCCATTTAGAATTTGATAACTATTTCTCATTCACTTTTGTTATGTTTTAAAAAATGTTCAGGATATTGTTAATGAACCTAACCAGAAATGAACCTTTTGTGTTTTATGGAAGAAAAAAGTCACACATATTAATATGTCCAATAGTTCCAGCAAGTAAAACCTTGCTGCTTTGAAACCCAGCAAATTACATGAAAATTATACACTCTCTCCTTTTCTGTTTGTTGCAGGAAGATCAGTTTTGGCCGGTGTTTCAGAGGCAATACCAGAAGCATGCAGAGATGAACAGAGATGAGGAAGCTGCTTCTCAAAGACTCAGAGAGCGGACGCTTTACCGATTGCGCTCCAGAGATTCAGTATTACTAACCAACCCACCCCCCTCGACACAACAGCATCCTTCCACTGACACGGTGACATAAGGACCAACATTTATCCACCACATCCGATAGTCATGGCTCTTTTTGGATCTGTGTGGACGCTATGAATCACCTTTCTTTTCTAAAAAAAAGACTTTTCTGTCCTTGCAGACGTATAAACTGAGAACTATGTAAAAGAAACTAGAGGACAAAATGTCAAAGCCACTCATGCCATGAAAGTGAAGAGCAGGGTGTTTGTGTACCTGAACTCTCATGGGTTGTAGTTTCACTAAGCATATGCGGAATACAATAGGAATTGTATTTTTCCCATTCACTTTTGTTTTCAGCTTCCCTCCTAGCATTGACTTCAGTTCTCAGATGCATTTGAATAAATGAGTTCAAAGCAATTTAAGGATGAAAGTGTTTAGATGCTATACTGTTATATATTACACTGATGGCCAAGTCATTTTGAATGTAAATGTGATGTTCTTTAATGAAAGACTACTGATATTAGTGAATATATTTTCTTATGTTTTTTACATTTAATTTATGTTCTCTGTGATTAGAGTTTTCTGATACTTGTGAAATATGCATCTACAAGCAGATTTGTAAAGAAATTGAAATAAAAGAAAACTGAGGACACCATGCTGTTCTTTTTCTTGTTAATGGCCATCATTTTCTGACATACCCAGATCAGCTCCATTTTAAACGACGCACAAAGACAGACTCCAGGGGCCTCATTTATAAAACATGCGTACGCACAGATTTGATCTTAGAGTGTGCGTACGCTAAAATCCACGGCAACGTTCATATTTATAAAAACGGTCTTTGATGTGGAAAAGTACTTACCGTCACGTCAGGGTCTGAGCAGGCGTACGCACGTTTCCTTGTGGCAAAGTCGGAGTACTGCAGCTATTTGAAATCTAAGCTGCAATAATAATAAAAGCGGTGTACTTGGCCACATGTCACTTTCACTTTATAAAGAAATGCCAAATCACATGCAGGTTTTTTCAGACCGGAGGCCATAATCATGTAATGATTTTATTAATGATTTATATTTAATTTTTCTTTCAGTAATGTTTTTTTAAGTTTTTCAATAATTTTGTGATACTAAATGTTTTATTAGTTGTCATAGCAAGTGATTTTAAAAGTAGGATGGCTCACTTTTTATAACATGATTTTTATATGGTAATGATATTAATTAGGGGGCGTTTACAAGGCGGAGATCTGACACCAGTCAGCTGCGCACAATTTCCAGATCATTTGCGATTTAAATGTCACATCTGGAAGAGAGGCGTACGCACGTGTTTTTGTGCGCACGTTCGTTTTCTCTGAATCGCACTTACGCACTTTTGAGAAATGATCTTAGAACAAATTTAGGACGGGTTATACGCAACATTTTATAAACGAGGCCCCAGATCTGCTGGTGCGAGCTGTAGGATCCTGAAAGTCGCATGTTTCTAAGATTCTTTTGGATTATTAGATGACGTCCCAATGACCTCTGGTAAGGCAAAAACATTAGTCTGTTTATGCTGAATAAATAATATCCCCACAGCCTTGGTGTTATCACTATCTAAACATGGAATAAGTTTCTTGTTGGTATGCATTGGTGAAGTTTGGTGTTATGACTTGGATGATCTTCACAAAGGTCTTTAGTAAGAGTGCAGGCAGCATTTTTTACATTGCAGGAGTGCAACACACAGCAATGATGAAAGAGTTAGACAAGCAAGACGACCAAGGACAGAGCAAAAAATAAAAAATAAAAACCACAGGTCAAAGATGTTTAAACTACAGTACAAAAAGAACTACTGTAGTATTGCTTGTGTGTGTGTGTGTTTGATAAGTAATATTAAGGGGATTCAAAGCTTTTTAAAAAACATTTTCCATCACGATTCACAATCTACAACTAAATTTGCCATACTTTAGCATAAAAAAGTTAAAGAGGTACTATTAGAATATTTACAAGAAAATTGCCATATAGTAAAGTATTATTTACATCTAAGATTGATCTACATATTATTTTAAAGGACAAATATTTACTAAAATCAACTTTTATGAAGATCAACTTTTGTTAAGTCATCAAATAGATACTTTGTTCATATATATATATATTTATATATATATATATATATTTTTTTTTTATATCTCCAGTAAATTTATTTTTATTTATGTCTATTTTTGTACATATATATATTTATATATATATATATATATTTTTTTTTTAATTATTATTATTATTTTTTTATTACAGCACACCTCGCTCGAGGCGACACGAGTTCAATTCCATCTGAAGGTCCTTTGCCGATCCCGCTCCCCTCTCTTAGCCCAATGCTTTCCTGTCCTGTGCTCTACTGTTCTGTCCCAATAAAGGCATAAAAGGTCCAGAAATATATATATAAAAAAAAACCTAATTACAACTGCTGTTCACAGCCATGATAAAATTCTGTAAGCTGCTGTCAGTGACTATTAGCATCTGTAATTTGTTAACTTGTTTAAAACAATTAGAAAATATTACAGAACTGAATAAAAGCTACTGGAATTACTCCCCATCTTGAAGGAAATTCTTCATGTAAAATCACTGATGAGTGTATAACACAGGTAATGTAACACTGCAGAGATAATCAAAGTTAGTCATGTATCGTTCTATGTGAGGTTTGTCCAGCTGAAAACACTCTTTCTCGACCCCCTCTCTGCCCTTGAGCTGTGATAAGAGGACTGCTAGAGTTCATCTGGAGTTTCACAGGTGACAAATCTGAGCTTTCCAAGAGTTACACACTTGATCTGCTCTTTAAGGAAAAGTGGCATACATACATTTTATTTATGTATGAAGTTGTATATCAATGAGATTTTCATAATCTGAGGGCTCTGACATCATTTGCATCATTGTGATTGTGAAATCATCAAAAGTTTGGGAATAGTAAGATTTTTTTGTTGGCTTTTTTTTTTTTAAAGGAGACTCCCATTTATTAACAGTAATTGTGTTAAATATTTTTACAATTTAAAATAACTGTTTTCTATTGTAATATATTTTTTAAATGTAATTTATTCCTGTGATGGCAGAGCAGAATTTTCAGCAGCCATTACTCCAGTCATCAGTGTCGCATGATCCTTCAGAAATCAGTCTAATCTGCTGATTTGGTGGCAAGCAAACATTAGCATTGTTGAAAACAATTGTGCTGCTTAATATTTTTGTGGAAACTGTGATTCAGTTTTTTCAAGATTCTTTGAGAAATAAAAAGTTCAATAGAACAGCATTTATTTGAAATAGAAATCTAAAATTAGAAATGTCTTTACTGTCACTTTCGATCAATTCAATGCATCATTGGTGAATAAAAGTATTAATTTCTTTAAACAAACAAACAAACAAACTCACTGATCCCTTTTGAACTTAATGTCACTCTTGATATGAAGTGAAGTGACATGTGGCCAAGTATGGTGACCCATACTCGGAATTAGTGCTCTGCATTTAACCCATCCTTAGTGCACACACACAGCAGTGAACACACACACACCGTGAACAC